GAGTAAAAATTCTTACTGACAAATGGGCAAAACCTAGGATAGTGGCAAATTAAAAAAATGTAAAATTACGACTAATTAGTATTTGGGGTGAAAGTAATTAGTCTTTTAATATGTCATAAACTGATTTTTGTTGTAAATATGCGTGACAGGATTGTTACACTGAATGACATTTTAGTGGGTCTCTTCTGTAAATCAGGGAAAAATGTATGATATTTATTTTTTGCTCAGAAAAACCAAAACAAAATTGCAATTAAATTAAATAATTTTTGTTGTATTTTTTTGGGGTAAAAACAACAATTTAAAGCAGTATTACACTTATTGTTTTTATGCTTAAACCCTTTTTCGTCTTTGACCCATGTATTTATATTATATATATATAATATATATGTATTTTTATACTGATTATAAAAATTTTTTTGCAATGTAAAAATAAAATGCAGGATGCAAAATTTGCCACTTACTGGAAAGTTACATTCTGATCATTTGATAATTTGATTTGATTATTAATGAATAAGTCGTTTGTAATTCAAACCCACTGTTTTTCATCCGCAGAGCTTCCGGTTCCTCTGGCGGGTCAGTTCGTGTCTCCTCCGGTCCGTACGGCTGCGGCGGGTCACGCCTGGGTCTCGGTGGACGAACAGTGTCATCTGCATTACGAGATCGTCGTCAATGGCCTCAGCAAGAGCGAAGACACCTCCGTCAACGCTCACCTGCACGGATTGGCCGAGATCGGCGAGAAGGACGACTCGTCCACCAATCACAAGAGACTTCTGACTGGCTTCTACGGTCAACAGGTAAACAAATCAAGACACTCCAAGTTAAACATAATTTGGCGATAATGTAAACTGCATGATTGCAGCACAACAAAAGCGTGTTTTCTTTGGCTGCTCCAGCGAAATCATGCCAGAAACATGATTCTGCTGTTATTTATTAAAATACTTTAAAGGGTTTGTTTATAAAACAAAGCTGATGTTTTCCCAAATGAGCTGAAAGCAGTATTGCATTCGGTATTTGTAGGTTAAATGCATTTCATTCTGGTTAAACATTAAGTTTAACCAGAATGCATTTCATTCCAAATTGCACAAATTTACACAAACTGTGTCTCTTACAGGCTCAGGGTGTGTTGAAAGATCTTAGTGTTGAGTTATTGAGGCATTTGGACGAAGGCACGGCTTATATTCAGGTCAGCACCAAAATGAATCCAAGAGGAGAAATACGAGGACGGGTGAGTACAAAAATGTTCAATGTTATAAAGATTTTCAACAGTAATTTTGTTTTCTACCTTGAAACATTTTTTTTTGCTGCTGAACCTTTAAGACTTCGCCATCTGATCTTATATATTTGTATAAAACTTTTATTTTAGAATTCAAAAAAAATGTATTATACGTAAATATATTTAACTTTGTTTTTTTATATTTATAATTTTTTTAATTATTTGTAATTTTATATTTTTTATATATTATTTAGTATTTAATCGATATCTTCGTTTTATATTTGCAGAAAAGTTTTATTTTAGAATTCTAAAACATTGTTTTTGATATTTATTATTTTTTACATTATTTTTTTATTTAAATGTTACATTTTATATTTTTATATATTATTTAGCACCTTATTTTAATACTAGGTTTTTAGTTTTATTTAATTTTTTCTACTTGTATATTGTACAATGCTTTCACAAAATTGTTTGTAAACACAATCATGCTAACAGAGTACTTTACATTTAAAACTGAATTAAATATAAGTAATATATGTTAAACCTTTGTATTTAATCGATATCTTCATTTTATATTTGCAGAAAAGTTTTATTTTAGAATTCTAAAACATTGTTTTTGATATTTATTTTTTAAATATTTTTTTTATTTAAATTTTATATTTTTAATATATTATTTAGCACCTTATTTTAATACTAGCCTTTTAGTTTTATTTGTGTATTTTTTGTCTACTTGCATATTGCATAATGCTTTCACAAAATTGTTTGTAAACACAATCATGCTAACAAAGTACTTTAAATGCAAAGTAATATATGTTAAACCTTTGTGTTTAATGCATATCTCCGTTTTCCAGATTCACGTTCCCAACAGCTGTGAGTTGGGTTCCCGCGGGGAAGTGGTTGAGGAGGCAGAGTTTGACGATCTCGTATTCGTCCGTGACCCGGCCGAGCTGAGGAAAGACCCACACACATGCTTCTTTGAGGGAGAACATCATGCACATGGGTCGCAGTGGACACCGCAGTACAACACCTGCTTTACCTGCATCTGCCAGGTAACACACATACACACACACACACACACACACTCACACTCACACTCACACACACACACACACACACACACACACACTCACTCACTCACACAGACACACACTCACACACACACACACACACACACACACACACTCACTCACTCACACAGACACACACTCACACACACACACACACACACACACACACACTCACTCACTCACACAGACACACACTCACACACACACACACACACACACACACACACTCACTCACTCACACAGACACACACTCACACACACACACACACACACACACACACACTCACACTCACACTCACACACACACACACACACACACACACACACTCACACACACACACACGCACACACACACACACACACACACACACACACACACACACTTGTAGCTTTGATTTATATATCATTTATGTGACTGTGGTTAATTTTTGCATATAATCTGTTTGAATCTCTGCAGAAGAAGACAGTGATCTGTGATCCTGTGACCTGTCCTGTGCTCTCGTGTCCTCACACCATCCAGCCTGAAGACCAGTGCTGTCCCATCTGTGACGGTGAGTAATGAGTCAAATTAATATAATTGTTTAATATATGTGACCCTGGAGCACAAAAGCAGTCATAAGTAGCACAGGTATATTTGTAGCAATAGCCAGCAATACATTGTATGGGTCAAAATTATCAATTTTTCTTTTATGCCAAAAATCATTAGGATATTAAGTAAAGATCATGTTCCATGAAGATATTTTGTAAATTTCCTACCGTAAATATATAAAAACTTAATTTTTGATTAGTAATATGCATTGCTAAGAACTTCATTTGAACAACTTTAAAGGCAATTTTCTCAATATTTTGATTTTTTTTGCACCCTCAGATTCCAGATTTTCAAATAGTTGTATCTCGGCCAAATATTGTCCTATCCTAACAAACCATACATCAATGGAAAGATTATTTATTCAGCAAAACAAAATGTGACCCTTATGACTGGTTTAGTGGTCACATTTTCATGTCTACAGCTTTTATTTAAAAGTAGCACATTTATGTGTTGAAATATTTTGGTTTTAGACATAAAAAACATTTTAATCGGAATATATTTGTCTTGTTTTCCAGTATATGTAAGCATCCTTAAAATAAGATACATTTAATAAGATTTTATATTATGAAAAACTGCAAAATAATGGGGTAAGAAATACATATAAAAATGCATTTTCTTGCAATATCTTCTGCAATTTCGCTTCTCAAGTAAAGTTCTTTTGTTTTCGAAGACGTTTTACTGGAAAACAAGACAAAGATCAAGATTTGATTTGCAGTGTAAAGATTGTTAGCTTGGACTATAATAAAATGCAGTAATATAAAAATACATATTTAATGTTTCCTATAAAATTTGTATTTGAACATTGTGCTTGATTTCTGTCAAAAGAAAAGAAAGAATCCAAACAGACGACTGCAGTAGAAAAAGTTGAAGAAGATCCAGAAGGTGAGTTTATATGAAATTACAAGAATTAAACATCACAGCTATTATTTTAAATGTGCAGCTGTATATTAAGATGTTTATTTGTCCTTTCAGGCTGTTATTTTGAAGGTGATCAGAAAATGCACGCACCTGGCACAACATGGCATCCGTTCGTCCCGCCATTCGGTTACATCAAGTGTGCAGTGTGTACCTGCAAGGTAATTTAACAAACATTATAATACACAACACATTTATTATGTTTTAAGCATAAAAAATACCAAATTTGTACACAGACATGAACATTAATAGTTAACCATTTTGTTTTATCCATCTCAGGGCTCCACAGGGGAAGTGCACTGCGAGAAAGTGACGTGCCCGCCTCTCACCTGCAGCCGACCAATCAGACGCAACACTTCAGACTGCTGTAAGGAG